TGGTTTGGGTTTGAAGGTCCTTTCCCTTCCTGGGACCCTGAGACAAGAACAAGCCAGAGGAGGAACTGATTTCCCGAGATTTCCTGGGCATGGAGAGCTTCTRGTGCTCCAGGGAGGGGGAAAAGGCTCCTGCTTTTCCTTCACAGATGCTTCTCAACAACAGCTTCCCAGATTTCAGCTTTCCATGCCCCACAGGAAAAGCCTGACCCCACACACCACCCCTGGCAGCTCCAGGGGCTGCTGGAGGCACTCACAGCCCCCCTAAAGTGACTGAAGGGGTAAAAAGTGCCACAAAAACAGCACAAAGATTCTTTACAGCACCAGCATTTCAGCTCTCCATGCTGAATTCCATCCCAAGGCAGAATCTGAGCCTCAAAAACATCCCCAAGAGCAGATTTTTGGTGATGCAGGCAGAGAACACGAAGGGCAGAGTGACCTGACCCGCCACCACYTGCGAGGAGCTGCTCGCATTCATCTCTGCTGCCACTTTAATTGCTCGCGTTAGCAGCTCCTAACTGAGATAAAGTGAGCTCTCCGGGCAGAGGCACCACCAGAGCAGCGTTTTATCCCTAAAAATAAGGAATTAGGATTCCTGATTTCTGAGGTGTGTTCTAGTGAGCTYTCAGTTTGGGAGTTTTCTTCTCTGAGGTGGCACAGCCACAGTGCTGTTGGGTGTTCTGACCATGCTGAATTTCATCAGAAAGTTCATCCTTGTGATCCTGTCATTATTATTATTATCAAATTAACACTGCTATTGCTGATGAAAGAGGTTTTTTTTTTTTTTTTTTTTTTTTTTTTTTTTTTTTTTTTTTTTTTTTTTTTTTTTTTTTTTTTTTTTTTTTTTTTTTGTCCAAGGAATGGGAACAGCCCGATCTCCCAGTGCAGACTGCAATTGCCATAAAGCCTAAAACAGCTACAATGCTCTGCAATCTCCCTGACATTATCACCATCCTCCAGGGGATAATGAAAGATAAAACTGGGATAGGGATGGCTGGGCTGGATTCTTCCATTTCTTCCATCTGCCTYTGCTGCCTTCTGGAAAAGCTTTCCCTGCTCCTGTCTGCTGGTTGGGAGATATTGGCCTCTCCTCATTTTTGACTCTCCTCCATCTCATTTTTTCCAGGGATGAGGTGGAGGAGAAGGTCCCTGACCTGGCAGACAGAGGTTACCACACAAGGAGGGTGCAATAGGAACGCTTCAGAAAGAGCAGTTCAAGCTCAGTCTGAAATCCCAAAAGAGGAGATTTTGATCTCCTGTGACAATCCTGGATCAAAATGCTACATTCCCCCAAATCTGGCCAKAATTGCTTCTCCAAGTGGTGCTCAAACTGCTGAATAAAAAACAAACCCAAAGCTGATGAAAATCACCTCCAAAAAAAGCTTTTTGCAATGACAGCACCTTGTCATTGCCAGCCCATAAATGGACATTCTCCATACACCAGACAAAGAGTTTTCCCCAAAACCTTCATGAATTAACATTAAATTAGCTTTTTTTTTTTTTGTCACTTAGAAGCCACATTCAATGAGGATTCTCCAGCTGTGGTTTTAGGATGCTAATTGAATTAGGATAGGAGCTCATCCCCTGCCTGGGAAATGAAAGCTTTATGAAGAGTGATTGTTGTCAGAAARCTCTTTTTAAACTTCCCTTCTCATTTTCTCAGCTTCACTGGAGGCCAAAGTGGCATTTTTAAAAMTCTGCACGAGTTCTGCTCAGAAGGTTTTCCCTTCACAAGAGACCTTGCTTGGAATGCAAACTCCAWGATCACCCCAAGGGAACCAAAAGCCTGGCCCGGAGCCACCCTATTGTTTGTGGGGTGGGGAGAGAAAACAAGGAGGGACAGAAAATATGGTCTGTGGCCACAGGGCTTTGTAAATTCAAAAACAGACACAAATCCAAGGATTTCTTGAAATGTCAGCCCAGGGTCAGGTTGGCAAATCCCTGCTTCAGTCTCAGCCAAAATCCTTCAAATCTGGACAGCAAAGGGCAAAAGCTCTGATTGACCCCAAACAGTGCAGTTGTTCCTCTTGCAGCTCAGGAGAATTTGGTGATTGAAGGCCCCAAATCAAGATTTGAACCCTCAGAAGCGTCTCCCAATTTGTCTTTCCGAGGCTGCGGCTCCTCTGTTAATAATTCTGATTGTTCCTGGCTCCCAAATCAAACTCCTGAGCTGGAAGCTGCTCCCAGAGCTTTCTCCATCCTGATGTTTCCCAAATTTGCAGGTGAAATCTGGGGTTTTTAGAGCTCTGCCTACAGGAATTTGCTCTCTGTGGACCCTTTTTCCTTCATTTTGGTTCTCCCACCAAACACACTCTGGGATGGGCTGTGCTCTACTCCCAAAAAAGCTGGAGACCACCAAACCCAGAGGTATCCCCAGGCACCTGTGTCCCCAAGGGAGGAATTTTGGGATCTTACCTGGGGCAGGGCTTGCACCACCGTGTCCAGGAGAGCTCTCATGCCCGTGGCCATTTTCAGCAGTTTCAGCACTGAAAGGAGGAACAAATCCTGGTCAGCCATTCCAGGGCTGGGGAATATTGCAGGGAAAATCCAGGAAGGAAATTGAGGTTCAGGTGGTGCAGGGAGGATTCAAATCTCTCTCACAGCTGTTTATACACAGAGGGAGTTCACTGAACATCCCATTGTCAGTCCCAAGGGGAATGGATTCCCACTGCCAGAGGGAAGGGATAAATGGGATTTTGGGAAGGAATTCATCCCTGGGAGGGTGGGGAGGCCCTGGCACAGGGTGTCCAGAGAAGCTGTGGCTGCTCCTGGATCCCTGGGAATGTTCAAGGCCAGGCTGGACAGGGCTTGGAACACTCTGGGACAATGGGAAGTGTCCTGCCCATGGCAGGGATGGGATGGGATGGGATGGGATGGGATGGGATGGGATGGGATGGGATGGGATGGAATGAACTTTAAGATCCCTTCCAAGCCAAACCATCCTGGAACTCCATGAAAATGGACAAAAAATTAACAAGAGGTCCAACGTGCCCAGGTAGGAAAATGGGACAGGGATGGGGAGAGAGCTCATCAGGGAAGAGCATCTTCCCAAGCTCTGATTGCCATCCCTCCCCACCGGTCTGGACCAGTATAAAAGCTCTGTGACCCCAGGCTGGAATCAAAATCCAACCGAGGACTCCACTGGGAAACCCCACAGCACCCCCAGCTTGTGTCTGAGCTGACATTTCACCTTCCCTACTGGAACCGAACCAGCAAGGCTGGAAGGACAAATGTCCAAAAGATTTCTGGAAAGCCCTGGGGCAGGACACACCTCTGGCAATCCGCAGCACCCTCATGATCCGGATGATGGTGGGATTGATGGGAAGGGCAGCGTTCATCTCGATCTCCTCCAGTGTGATCCCCACAATGGACAGGAGAACGATGGCCAAGTCCAGCTGGTTCCACCTGCAGGGAAGAGGGACACGCAAAATTCAAATTATTTATGGATAGACATCCAAGAGGAGGGAATTTCGTGTTGATAATAGGCACCAGCAGATCCCAAAGGCATCTCCTCATTCCCATCTGGGGCCATGATTTTTAGGTGGTACAAAACCAACCCAGGGCAGCTGCCACAGATATCCTGTGAGCCACAAAATCTGGGAAGGAACTGGGATCTGGCTGGAAGTGTTTCTGACCTCTCAGCTGAGCTGGTCAGGCCTGGTGGAGAGGGAGATACTGGGGGAAGATGCATTTGGAATTTTGGGAGATTTTTCGAATTCCTCCTGCAAAGCACAGCCAGCAGCTCTTGGGGTTTTTAGTTCCTACACCACAAATTTTGCACCCACAAAAAGACAACCCTGGGCTCTCTCCGTGTCACCACAGTGATGCTGCATTTCCCCAGTGTCTGGCTCTGAAATGGGGCCAATCCAGCCCTGAACCCCAAATCCACAGGGGTTTGGAATGTTCTCACCTGTCCTTAAAGAACCTCCGGAAGCCAAAGGCCACCAGCTTGAGGAGTGCCTCGAACACGAAGACGATGGTGAACACGTAGTTGCAGTACTTGAGGGCTTCATCCAGGGACTGAAACRAGAGATCCCAGTTAGGCCAGCCCAGTTCTCTCTTCCTGGATCCCCAGGGAGGAACTGGGAAAGCCCGGGAAGGGATAAAGTCACAATGGTTTGCAGAGCTTGAATAAAACCTGAGCCCTGGGTCAAACAAAACCCTCCAAAAAACAAAGATTAGATCTGCTAAAAATGTCAGCTCCAAGCTCAGTGCAGGAATTGTTCATCCTGGGCCAGACACGAAAAAATTCATCCCTTCCCCATCTCCTGAAGATTCCTCAGTCTGAACTGCCCAGCCTTGGGTAGAACAAAAGCCCTGATGGATCATCCCTTGATGGATCATTCCTTGATTCCAGCCCTCGGGACAAAGGCTTGGCTTAAAAAGCCCCGAAAAATAAATAACCTTGGGAGATGGATTAAACCTTTCCTTCCTGAAAAATGGGACATCTCCAGAGCTGGGGCAAAGTGTGTCCATATTTGGTGCAACGTTCCTGCTCTGCGAGGAGCCGCTCTCGGAAGTCAGGAATCCGCGGTGTTTATACTTGAGAATGATGAGTGTTTGGAATGGATTTCATTGGAGCTGTGGGCCAACAATAGCACAAAGGAATCTTGTGGGGCCTTAAAATAGCTGGGGGGAGGGGAAGAGGCTCTTGGGGTGGGGAGGGTTTTGGGGGACAGGAGTGAATTCAGTTCAGTATAGCACAGGACTCTGTGTTTSCAATAAAAAATGGGAATTATGAGTGTCAAACCAGATGAAATTGGAATGAAATGCAACAGAGGAGCTCTTAAAGCAGCTCTGAGGGAGCCCCAGAGCACAGGAAACCTTCTTCTGTCCTCTTTGTATGAAGCCTGGGCTTTGCTGACCCCACACACACGATGGGGTCACCAGGGCATGGCCATGCCCTGATTTTTGGGAATGAGAGCTGGAAGTTTCTCAGGTATTAGCGACAATCCGTATTTTTGTTGCAGTACCTGAAATAAAATGGCTTAAAAAAAAAGGGATGWTTCCCTGCTCTATCTGAAACCTGAGCTTGGTTTCTCCCATCGTTTGTGACCRTTCTGGATTTACAACTCTGCGTAACGGGAACGGAACTCAGGTGTAAATAAGGCCTAACCTGGATAAACAACATTTCTATGGAAAACAGGAATTACCCTGGTGTAAAACACACCCACATTACCCTCAGGCTCAGCATCCAGGAGGAATTTGCAGGTTACTATGGAATACTGGGAAAGTAATTTACTGCAGAGCTTCATAAATAATGACGAAATGGAAAATTCATGGATGGGCAGCCCATATGATTGATGTTAAAAGTGTTCTGGKGGGAGAATGATTTTGTAATACATAAAAAAAGGGAGGGCTGTACTTTTAAASAAGTTTATTCTAAATCCATTGAGGAAAAGGGACTCTCTGCACGCAGCAGCTCCAAGTTTGTGTCTGTTAATGGAATATCCTAAAACTCTGACTGCTTTCCCGTGTGAGGCTTGGGTACATCTGGAATTGGGAGAGGAAATGTTTGGATTGGTCTTTTTTGAGTAAAAGCCTACTTCCCTCTCTGTGAGCTGGGTTTTTTACCAAAAACAGGGAGAATGAGGCTTTTCCTGAGGCAGAGGTGGCTCAGGTGGGATGGATCCAAACCCTGCAGCCGATCCCATCCCAAGGGAAGAGCGCAGGGAGCAGAGCTGGGGACAGCTCCTACCTTGGGCTGGTTGTAGTGCTCCATGGACATGGTGATGACGTTGACGCCGATGATGAAGGTGATGAAGAGGTCGAGGTAGTGGCTGGTGCACAGGCTGTGGATGTATTTCCGCGCTGGCGAGTAGTCGGCGTAGTAGGGCCGGCGTTGTGCTTCTGCGGGGGACACAAAGGTCAGGGCTGGGCTGGGAGGGCTGCGGRGCTGGTGGTCACCACCACGGGGTGGCCTGAGGGTCACCTCCCACCCGGACACGGGGTGGAGAACGGAGCTGAGCAAACCACGGGAAGAGATTTCTGAGTGATTGCACTGGGACCACCCCGGTGGGGTTTTTGGGATGAACAGAGGTCCTTCCCTCTCTCCTCAATCTCCTCATGGAATGGGAACCAGGCAGGGGAAGGAGCAGGACGGACACGGGACCCAAAGCCGAGGGAAAAGCTTCAAAGCCAGCAAAGCTCCAGCTCCATGTGTGGGCAAAACTCAGGGCACGGCTCAGCTCTCTCCATCCTAATCCCAATCCCAATCCCACTGTACATTCCAGGCAGGATAAGGACATGCCCTGAGCTCAGCTCCAAAGGTTTTTGCCGTGATTTTGGGAGATCTAAGGAAAAGCAGCCGTGCTGTGGCACATTCCTGATAAGGACATGCCCTGAGCTCAGCTCCAAAGGTTTTTGCCGTGATTTTGGTAGATCTAAGGAAAAGCAGCCGTGCTTTGGCACATTCCTGAGGGATGGGAGCTCATGGACCCAAAGCGCTCAGCTCTGCCAGGACAAGCAGCACGAGCTCCTCTGGAAACAGAAATATCAATTTGTATTTATATTATGTATTTATATAATTATATTGATATTTATATCTAATTATATACATAATATATATGAATACTATATAATACATAAAATATATTTGATATGTTTATATTATTATATAGAAAACCAATTTATCTGTGACTCAGGGCATGGCTGCATCTAAAACCATTCACATGAATTTTATGTCTGTGCCTGTGGTCGTGATTCTTTCTTTTTTTTTCTCTTTGAAATTTCTGCCCGTGACCAAATTCTTGGGGCTGTTCCAAGGAGAGTGTTTGGGCTCTGGAATTGCATTTATTGTGAGCGTCTCTCCAATGGAACTGTGACCACAGGGACGGCTGTGGGCACTGATGGAGTCRAATTCCTTTGAAACTCAAGCAATGTAAATATTCAGAGTTTACCCAAGGCCAAGGCAGCGTTACTGTGGATTTTATGAGTGGAGGAGACGCTTAGGTCAGACCAATTCAGAGCRGGATTGTGTTTAGCAGAGAGGAGCTTTTGCAAATATTTCAGCAAATTCAGCTTTAAATGCATGAAGGGCTCAGAAAAAGTTGTTTCACCTTGAAAATGAGGGAAATCAGTTCAGAAGGATTCAGTGCCCTGCTGAAATCCACTCCTACTCCTCTCATCCTGCTAATCCCTTTCAGATGGAAGGACTCTTGAAATGTGGGGGCTTTTTTTGTGCTGCAGCTGATGCCAGATTAGAATCCAAAACCTTTAAATTAATTGGATAAAGGGAAACAGAATCTGCAGCACTGTTTCAACTACCTTTTTTTTTTTTTCTTGATAGTTAAAAGTACAGTGGAGGCATTTGAAAAACATTTCCTTCTGACCAGGGTCACCGAGGCTTATTTTTTTTTCTGCTAAGGGGTGTGGAACAACAAGATGAAAGCAACCAGAGTTGTTTTGGAACAGAKTTTTTTTTTTCTGTTGCTTTCATGTGCTGTAATCCTAGGAGTCATCTTGGACTGGTGGGGCTGTCTCTGCTACCGAGCTCAGCCTGCCTGAAAAATAATAATAAAAACATTGCAGTATAATATTTATTTCAGCCTGTACAATCTGCTTTCATGTGTGTTCAGGATTACAACATCCTCGTCCTTTTTTTTTTTTTTTAGGAAATGTCTTCTTGGGAATGCAAATCATCGACTCCCTGGGAGGTCTGAGAATATCCTTAATAGTTAAATGCTGTATTAAGGGATTATTTATGAATGATTAATGGTTGATTAATRGGTTTCAGGGCACGAGCAGAGATGGGCTGGCAGCACATCAGGGAAAGAGGTTGCAGGTGCTGTAACCTCCCTTCACCTGCCCAAGTGCCMAATTTATTCACTATAAATAAATCGGGTTAAAAGATCAGGGCTTTATTCTATTTTATAAACTAATTCCACAAGGAGAACCACAAGAAGACATTTTCCACTGTCAGAAACCCTCCTAAATTCCCTGGCAGCATCACAGCTCCTTCTTTTTATGGGCTGGAGAGAAAAAAAAATTAAGGTGGAAGCGCCCAGCCATAAGGGTGGGTCTGTCCTACAGCACAAAGGGATCTCAGGGTCCCTGCTGGMAAAACCTGGGACAGGTGACCCTGAGCGAGCTCTGGGAGAAGCCTGGCTTGTTTAGGATGGACACAAAGCATAGCAGAGACAGGGAAGGAACTCCCCGGGATGGGGAACACACCCAGAGCCAGCCTGGGACTGAGGGGACACGGGTGACAATAAATCCATGCAGCAGGGCCATGCTGGGGGACCCATGCAGTGTCCATTGCAGGAGATGCTGCCTGTGCCAGGCTGCTGGGAGGGAGATGGGATGGGCTGGAGGGAGCCAGGGCTGCATTTGGGATCCTGGGAAGGCAGAGGGTTTGCAGCAGCAGGAGGGGAAGCAGAGAGGAAGCAGCCCCACAGCTCCAGGGCAGCTCTGGCAGCGCTCCAGAGCTCCAAAGCCTCAGCTCTGGTCATTCCCAATCCCTTGGGAAGTTGCTCCTCTGTTGGTGGCACAGCAAGGGGCTCCGGGCTCCTCTCAGCTCGCATTTCTAACTCTTGGTGGGAATTTGAACTCCCCAAATTGTGCTGAGGGTTCACTGCACACACAGCCAGAGCCGGGGGATCCGAGGGAGAACCCTGATCAGGAGGACCCTGCTCCATGGAATGTGGGCACAGAAACCAGGGGATACCCAATCCGTCAATAATCCCAGCAGGAAAAACACACCCTGTGCCTTGGTTTCTCTGGGAAAATGGATTTTGGGATGAGAATCCCATCAGACAGCTAGCAGATTTCTGTCATCATGGAATTACGGAATGGTTTGGATTGGAAGGACCTTAAAACCCATCCATTCCAACCCCAGCACCTCCCACATTCACAGGTTGCTCGAAGCCTTGTCCAGCCTGGCCTTGGACACTTCCAGGGATCCAGAGGCAGCCACAGCTTCTCTGGGAATCTGTGCCAGGCCCTCCCGGGGAGGAATTCCTTCCCAAAATCCTGTCTATCCCTGCCCTCTGGCAGTGGGAATCCATTCCCCTTGTCCTGTCCCTCCATGCTCTGTAAATGTCCTCTCTCCATCACAGACAACTTTCCCTCCAGCTGCTGGTTTGAACCGGTGGAAGCGCAGCAGGGAGAAAAGAAACCATCAAAAACACAAATAAAGGAAAATCGCAGCCTTTCCTCCCCCCACTTTTAGAGCTAATGCTTGAACCTCACCTCTCTGCAGAGCATTTTAAAGTTTGCTCGTGGTTCTGCTGACATGAAAATTAATGAAGAACCATCCCCTGGCTTAAAAGCATTTGTAGCTGGCATTACAATGCCCAGCTCCTCCGTTCCAGGGCTCTGTGGAACATTAGACAGCCCTGATGGGTTTTCCATGGTTGGAACAGAGCAGCTCTGGACCTGCAGCTGCCTGGAAAAACAAGGAGCAGGGTCGGATAATTCCCTGCTTGGAAACTCGGAATGCTCAGGGATGCAGCACCCAAAATTGGAGCTCCAGCTCAGGGGATTCCACTGGGTGCAGAGAGGGCTGTGGCACAATTAAAATCAAAATTCCACCCTGGCCACCCTTGAGGGAAAGGTTCACGGTCATCACTTCGAAAGGAAGCTCTGCTGGGGCTCAAAAGTGGCCTCTTCCTTCCACAATTCCCAGCTCTCTTGGGAAAAGCCTCAGAGGAGCAGATCTGTGGACACACTCCCCTCGTGGAGTGAAAATTGGGCAAAAAGCATTTTTGAGTGCTCAGTTTTTGGGGTCTCCCCAAAGGGACACCACTGAAAGGCACTCTGCTCCCCAGCAAGTGTGCCTCAGTCTCCTTCCCTGTGATTCCCAGCTTTTCCAGCTTTTCCTGCTCTGCTTTCAGCCCCAGGGTCACCCAGACCCCCCTGCAGCCTTTGAAGTCTGACACAGCAGATCCAGGAGGGCCGGATTTGGCCCCRGATCCCAAAGGCAGAGGAGACCGTGCTCATCCACGTGTTTTTAATCAAACCCTTCAATCTGGTCCCAGCTTCTGAGAAGCTCATTAAGAGGCTGAGAGCAGCAGGATTGTTAAATTCCACTCATCCAGGAGTGGATGGAATGGATGGAGCAGGGTCTGTGTCAGGAAAATATTCTGGTTTATCTCGAATTTTTTTTCCCTTCACATAAAAAAGTTCCCTGTGCAGTTCTGCCTTTGAAACCACATCAAATGCATTTCTCAGTGTCCTCACCCCCTGCCCTCTGCTCTCCTGGAGCAGAGCGAACCTGCTGCCACCCCCTCAAGCAAAGGGGCCTTCAGATGGGAAAGGAATGGTTTGGAAAGGTCTGAGGTGGTGACAGCAGAGGATTGGGCTGAGAGGGACATTCCTGCTGGAAAATCACCCCAAAGCAGGTGATGGCTCCTTGTCCCACCTGAGGAGGAGCCGGGTCCTGCTTCAGGGCTGTGAGCCAGGAGCAATCCCTCCCCAGGTTCCAAATCTTGGATCCAGCCTGGGATTGGTACCAGGAGCACCCAGCTGAGGTTTAAYCATYCCCAGGATTATTCYTYYATGGARCAATCCCTCTGWCAGGCTCTAAACCCTGRATYCAGCYTGGGATGGGGACTCAGGACCACCCWGCTGAGGTTTAACCCWTCCCAGRTCAGARCCCAGCCTGYCCCAGCTCCRGGGTGTKCTCTGTGTGTGCAGGTGGGGACAGATCCCACAGCCCTCAGGAASCAGGGGACATCACAGGGGACAGCACAGCCAGAGGACAGCACACACGGAGGGGCATTGGTGGATTTTGCTCCTGTTAAAACACTGATTCCTCCTCCTCTCCTGCTGGGAATGTGTTGGAGTTAAAAGCAGGGATCTCTGTCTGCGTTCCCTTGCTCCTGACTCCTCTCTCCTGCWGGCACACAGAGCACTGGCACACAGRGAAGCAGTGGAAGGGACACAGGGAAGTGGCAGAAGGGACACAGGCAACCAGAGGAAGAGACACAGGGTGGCAGCTGCTGTCACCACACAGATCTGCAGCTCCCCRAGCACACACACAGCCCCCCACAGCCACACACAGCTCACATCTTTCTGAGCCTGCCATGGTTTCTTTCATCAAATCCATCGTCTTCTAAATCACCCAGGAGGTGCAAACCCCTCTCAGTTGAAATAAAAAAAAATGATCCCTTCAAATGGAAATATGAAGGGAAATRTCCCTTCCCAAATGTGGGTCAGATATTTGGGTTCACCTCGTTAATAACCCCAGTCTGGATGCCAAGCTGCCCGTGCAGGTAGAGCCAGACAATTTAAGGGAACCTTCTGGAAGCCCAACACATGGCCAAAGGTTTAACTTCCCAACTGCTCTATTGACTTGATCCCCTTCCAGAAATCTGTCCTCCTCCCCATGAAATGTTACAGCCCTCATCTGTGCACTGCCTGCTCCCAAACAGCTCCTTGGGGGTGGTGGATGAAGAGGGACGGTGTCACCGTGTCCATCACTTTGATGGGAACTGGCTCTTTGTGGTGCATGAGCTGTGCAGTCACAGCCAGGCTTTAATGAGATTTATTTCCTCATCAAGAGCTGAGCTCTGCCTCCATACCTGTGCCCCAGCCTGTTCTCTCTAAGGATGCTCAAAATAGYTTCTTTTAAAATTTCATCTCAACTYGGAGTTTATCTGGGTGTCTTTGGGGTCAGCACATCGGGGTGGAAATGCTGCACAAGAAAGACCCCTGGGAGCCTGCAACTGATTCCCCTCCCTATGCTGGCAGTGCTGCCTGCAGGATTTCCACCCTCAGACTCCAAAAGCAAAATGGGAAAAGGGGAAGGAAATTGCATTTGAACTYTTCTGAATCTCTGGAGAGAGCCTGTGTCTGAGCTGGATTTCATTTTATCTCAGGCACTGAACGCACAACTGGCTAAAATCAGATGGGCTTGGCCTCCCTGTGGTGCCATTAAGGTCCTGTGGGGACCACGGGGCCACCATTTAGGGCTGAGGTGTCCTCTGGCTCTGGCAAAGAGCCCCAGAGGAGCAGGAGAGGGGCTGTGAGGGACCCCAGCTGGGTTGGGGGCAGGAATGGGATGGATGGGGCTTCTCCCAGAAAAGCCTGTGCCTGCTGTGCCCTTGGAGCTGGGCTGTTTTCCCAGCTGGGAATGGATATCCATGGCTTGGTGTCTGGGACACAAGCAAGAATTTGTCCCAATATTCGGTCCCTCCAGGAGATGGCACAGCCACAGCACTGCTGCAGCAAAAGGGCCAGAAAAGCTCAGCCTCAGCCCTGACTAAGCTCAGCTTTGATCTCAGTGGCCAGGCCAGGTTTCCTCAGTCCTCAAAAACACCTGGCAGGCTGTTCCTGCTCACTGAAAGTCCTGGGAAGTCACTGTGGCTGCTTTCCTGGCAGTTTTCCTGGGAATATTCACTTGATCCTAAAGGCAGCTTGTCCCACGTGCAGCCCACCAGGGCAGGTGGGAATTCCCGTGGGCTTGGGGCAGGAAAGGAGTACAGGCTCAGGTGGATTTTGGGTCTGATGGTCCCTATTAGAWCCCCTATTAGATTAGATGAGATAGRAATTTTGAACACCCCTGGCTGGTGTTCCAAGGACAAAATGAGTCCCAGGAGTGAGTGCCAKCCTGGCATGGGCGAGCATCTCTTGTGCCGGACATGTCCCCAAGGGGAATCCTCCCCTCAGTGCCACCCCGGGGCTGCCCCACTGTCCCCAGGCTGTGGCTCTGCCCCCATGCAGTGTTTGTGGCATGCGGGGCCATGCGGGGCCGGGGTTCCAAACAGAATCATCACGATTTTATCCAAAAAAGAATTCTGAAATCAACCCCCATCCCCACCCCGGGGTGCGGGCGGTGCGTTAAGGCCCAGGGGACCCCAGGAGTGGCCTCCAGGAACAGGGGAAGCATTCCAGCTGTTCACCCCGATGTCCCTAGTGCTTGGGACACCGTGGCCTCGCAGGGAGGACTCTGCTGGAGGAGGAATTTTTCCAGCCAGGTGACCAGGAGATGCTTCCCATCCAGGACAACCCCGAGACTTAAGGCACCGCCGAGGAGGAGCCAAAGCAACGCAACCTCCTGAAATCCCAAMGAAAAACCAAARGAAAAAGAAAAATCTTGCTTTGGGAGCAGGCAGGGCTCAGAAAGGTTTTGGTTTGTAAGGCACTCTACCGACCAGACAGGTACATCTCCTTACTCCTGCGCTTTTTCTCCAGGCGTCGGAGCCGCTTCTCCTCCCGGCGCCGCGCCTCCTCCGCCTCCTGGTGCTGCCGGCACTTGTGGAAGTTCTCCACCACCACCCCCACGAACATGTTGAGCACGAAGAAGCTGACGATGAGCAGGAAGGAGATGAAGTAGAGCAGCATCCAGGGGTTGTGGTTCTGGATGGGCTGGGGGAGTTAAAGACAASGGAGAAGCAGGATGGGTTGAGTCAGTGTTTTGGGTGCTCTGGAGCAACAGAGTGGGGGGGAGGAGAGGGCTGGGGGGAGATTTTTCCCAAAATATTTTCCTCTCATTCACCTCCTCACTGATTACAACTCACTTTTGGTGTAAAACCCACCCTAAGYTGCCTTCCAGGATTTAATTATTTTGGCATTTATTTCACACAGCTTCAGATAAATCTCTATGGATGAACATCATCCCACCAGCAAGAGCTAAAGAAAGGCTCCAGATTTTTTCATTTTTCACATGTGGGCTCCTGGTTAACATTTCTCAGTTGTTACCAGACCTTCACAAGTGGGGGAAATGAAGTCCAAAGTGTTCCTGTGGCTGGAGGTGGATCCTACTCATGGGAAACTCRACTTCCCACGGAAAATGCCACTGAACGTGTCTTCCACAACATTCCTGGTGGTTTCCCATCCTCAAGAACCCCCATTCTAAATCCAAACCCCATCAGAGCTTGCTGGATCTTGCAGCTCCAAAGAACGGAAAATTTTGGCAGCTTGGTGGGTAATCAGGACYTCAAGGAGATTCTGCAGCTCTGTCCCTTCCTGGGAATTCAAAAACCCCAGAATTCTGCAGGTCTGAGGCTGTGAGAGCAGCACTCCGGGGCTCTGCAGGACAGGTACCTGTTGGTCAATGCCCACGGCGTCCAGCCCATCGTACATGATGTTCACCCAGCCRTCCTTGGAGGAGAGGACAAACAGGGACATCAGGGCCTGGAAAATGGACAGGAAAGGTTGGTCTTACATTTCAATCCCCAGAGAAGGAATTCCTAACTCTAACCATGACCTGTCTTGCTTTTCAGCCACTATAAACACCTCATTTTCTTCATTTGCAAAGATAACAGCAAGAAATCAAGAGAATAAAAGGAACGGTTGGGGGAGCACACCCCAAAGTAGTGGCTTTAGGACAACGCTCCTAAAAATGAGGAACTGTACAACTTAGCAAGGGTTCAAGGGTTGGTCTGATCCATTTTTACAATTTCAGGGTAAAATAACAGAGATTTTCAAAAAAAGCCACAGAAAGACCAAGGATGGAAAAGGCCTCTGAGATCACAGAGTGCAAATATGAACCCATTGATAGATGATTGCAACATCAGCTTTGGAAAGTCCCTATGGTGGAGGCTCCACACCCTCCTGAAGCCACAGTTTGAGGTGTTTATCTATGAAAAGCTGGCACAGAAAATCCCTGCAGGGAGGACTTTACCTGGCCCAGGTTGTCGAAGTTGTACTTGCGCCGGACCCATCTGTARTGAGCGTTGGTGCAGTCGGCCTTGGTGGTGATGTTTTTGACGTCAGGGCCATCGCAGTAGTAGAATTTCCCTTTAAAAAGCTGCATTTGAGAGGCACAAAGGAGAGAAAAATGAACAAAAAATCAGCAGCTTTGAAAAATCTGATTTATCTTTCGTTCYCCCAGCAGAGTCCACCAGGGAAGTCTGGCTGCTCTCCCAATCCTGAGTCCTTGCTGGGAGAAGGTGCCAACCCCACCCCGGATTTAGATTTCTCCTAAAGCCTGGCTGCTCTTCCCAAACCAAAATCTTCCTTTGGAGAGATTTCAGCTCATTATTTGCACCTCAGCCCCAGGGAMTGAGGAAAGCAGCTTCCCTTTTGCAGCAGTTGCCTACAGCCAGCTGTGGGGARGGAAATACTCTACCTGCACCCCTAAAATCCCAAAGATAATGAAGAAAGCACAGCAGATGAGAACAATGTTCCCGATGGGCCTCAGGGAGGAGATCAAGGTTTCCACCACCAGCTTSAGACCTGGGGCTCTGCTGATGACTCTGGAAAAAACGACAAGAGAATGAAGGTTTTAATGTTTAAGCACATCCYGTTCTCACCCAGCTGCTTCTCCTTCATTCTCTGAAGTTGGCACAACCCTTCTCCACCTGCAGGCAGCATTTGGGGACAATCAGGGGCTTCTGCAGACAACCAGGACATTCCCAGCCACACCAGAGGGAATTCAAACAGGAACAGCTGGGCAGAGTGAGGAGGGGGAGGACAGCACAGAGCTCCCTTGGTGGGGATTTGTACCCCAGTCCAGGGGGGGATCCCTCTGAGGGATCCAACACAGGGTGACCCCTCCAAAGGTTCTGACCCCACACAGGGACAATCCCTCCAAAGGTTCTGACCCCACACAGGGACGATCCCTCCCAGGGCTCTGACCCCACACAGGGACACAGGCAGGACCCTCCTTCCTCTCCCACCACATGTGAGCAGTTTCCCAGCGGGATTGGAGGGCACGTCTGGTGCTCTTGCTGCAGCYGTGGCCATGACAACTTTCCAAACAGAGCAATTCCAATTTGTCTCCTAATTAGTTCCTGAGCTGGCTCTKAGCTGCCAGGAGCCTGTGGTCAACAGCTCCACAGCCAAAGGGTCRATCCCGTTGGGAAGCAGCTTCCTGGYGTGYTCTGGRGCAGGTTTTGGGTGTTATGGAGAACAGGAGTGCTGTTTTCCTGTTGGAATACACTGCTCTCCCCTGGGGATGGAACCAGCCCAAACCAAGCTTTSCTGAGAAAGGCCAGGTGGGAGTTTTGCCTGAAGAAAATCCAAGTTGATTTAGGAGGGGCTGGGATGGGGGGAGTCCTTCCAGGGAGCCGGAGCTCACATGGATAACAATGCCCTGTGCCTGCCAAGCCCAGGGAAAACAGGAATTGTGTGCTGCAGCATTTCCACAGGGTCTTGTTYGAGACAAATCATGTGGAGTCTGAACTGCACCTCCAAAGTGTCGGGAATGGTCCCTGGAGCTGCCCTGGGAGAGGCTGTGCTGAGCGAGGCCGGCGTGAGAGGTGATGAATTCCTTTCTATTCTTGGGATCTGGCCCAGTTATCCTCAAAGGCCAATTCCCTCCTTCCCCCTTCCCTTTCCTTTGAGCTGCCTGTGCCCTGAATTCCGCTCCTGCCTATGTGGGTCACACAGGGTGACCTGGCCAGGGGGACTCAGCAGCTCCTGGGGACTCTGATGCCACCAGCAGAACAGAGAGGAGCCAGAGCCACTGATTTATTCATCACTGAGGTGACACAGAGCACAAAGAGCTGCTGTTCTTGTGGTCTAAAAGATTCCCTCTCCCTCTCACTCTCACAAGCATGGCTTTGTCCCAGAAAGTTTACAGGTTTTTGGAGGGGATTGTCTCATTCCCTTGAAATTTCAGTAAAAAAGGCTCATGTTTCTTGCCAAGCAGGAAGAAACCAGAACAGCAGCTGATAAAATCCTCCCTGCCAATCAYTATCACTCTTTGTTTTGCATAATCACAACCAAAACACAAATGATCTTCCCTCCTTTTCCCAGATCGTGGAAGCTCTGCCCTCCTGAGGGAGGAGTCGCTTTGCAGGGGTGCTCGGCAGGCTCGGGAGAGCAGGGAAGGATGAGGGAGCTTATCAAACCCTCGTGAGGATGCTGGAGCTTATCAAATCCTCATCCTGTTCAATTGCAAATCCCTCTGTGCTGGGGAATGCCTGGGAGGTTGTGCAGTTGAGGAAGGAGCCAGGGTGGTTTGGGAAAGGCTGATAAAAAAAGCAGTGAGGAGGCACCTCACTCCTGAGGATGATAACACCTCTCACTCCAAACTCCAGCCGCCCGTATCCAAGCTGGAGAAAATGAATTGGAATTCATTTCACTGTTTTCAGTTTCTCTCTGAGTTCAGAACTCCCCAAAGRTGTTTTGGCCAGTGTTGTATTTCAGTTTCTCATGTTATTAAGCAAGGCCTTGAAGGACCAGGAGCTTTTTTTTTCAAACTCTGATTTACCAGCACCTACCGGAGAGGCCTCAGCGTCCGCAGAAGCCTCAAAACACGAAGAACTCCCAGGATTTTGGCTCCTCCCGCTGATGCCATGGACACGATGATGTCAATGATGGACACAAAGACCAGGACCCCATCCAGGACGTTCCAGCTGCTCTGCAGGTACGTGTTCTCCCCCGAGAAAAAGCCAAGAGCCACCACCTGCAGCCAGGAGAAGGGAGACATTGAGACTTTCACCCAGACCACAACTCTGCCACGGTCTGGTCTTTGCCAGAATTATTAATTATTACCTTAACCATCATTTCAACCACAAAGATGGCAGTGAAGATGTAATTAGAGACACTGAGGAATACCCTTTCCTGGAAGACACAAGGAAAAGAGGTAAAGAAGGAAAAGAAGTTAGAAACCCAACATTTATCCTGCAGGGTCCAGGGCTGAGAAGATGAAGATCTGGAATGGGGGATGGAGGAAGGAAACGCTGCTCACCGTGCTCAGGGGGTCGATGTCTGGTCTYTCCAGGGCTATGGTGATGCAGTTGAGGAAGATGAAGACCAACACCACGTGGTCAAACATCTTGTGGGCGATGACCTTCTGGCACGTCACACGGAACCTGGAGAAAAACGGGAAAAACGGATCCTAAAGGAGTTTGGGTCATCCCAAAAGTGGCTCCATCCCAAAAGCCTTCTTCAGCTGTGCCACCAGCACCAGGCGGTGAAGCAGCATTTCCCCAGGCTTTGGCCATGATTACCATTAATTATCATTGATCATTAATTATTAATTACCATTAATTATTAATAATTATCAGTGCTGGCTAAACCACTGTCAGCAACGGAGCGAACCACACAATTCTGCCCACGCCRAACAGAAAAAGTGACCGCAAAATCAGGAATCGGGTTTCAAAAAACTCTGAAGGATTTTTCCCGAGGGGCAGCTCGCTAGGAATGCAGTATTCCATCACCTCAGATAGCTGCTGGGCTGGCATTCCCCTGGCATTTCTTACCTGTTCTGTGGGGAAAACAAGTAGAGGGACCAGTCCTCGTGGGTCTTGCACCACTGGGGTTTGTAGGGCTCCAGGGCTTTGCGGATCCGGTAGCAGTAACTCTGGAGGAAAAAGAAGAAACGCCTTTTCTTCCTCTTTTATCTTCCTGCCTCTTCAACTTTCACTGAGCTTTTGTGGAAGGGAGGGGCAGCAAATGGTTTTTCATTGTGTCTGTGGGAAGTCACAGCTTTTGGGACRGAGCTGTGGTGGCCATTGTCACATTTGTCCAACAGAACAAGGAGAAGAGGGGTGGGAAAAGAGGAGAGATGGACAGGGCAAGGCAAGACTTGTGGGCAGGTGTCATTTTGAGATACAGAGCTGTGCCAAACCCAAAAAGGCCTCAAACAGCCACAAAGCTAAGTGGAAAATGTTTCTTTTTTAGGCTTTCAAGCTGTCATGGCCCCAAACAGCTCTTGTGACTAAAGAATTCTGTTGTGTCTGCAGCTCCATTTTGGAGGCGCTCTGGGCCAGTGGGACAATCCCAAACAGCCCAAAGATGAGGCAAAAGGAAGTTTCACCTCACGGGACACCACTGCAATGTCACAGCTCCAAAAAAAAAGGATATTTCAGGAAGCAAAGGCCCATCCCTTGGCTCAGGATCAGCCATGAGACCGTAACACATTTCCAWGCCAGATTTTCATCCGGCCTTCCCGGGAGCAGAAAAGCCACTTAACACACGAGCACCCAACGGGCGCGGGACTCACATCCTCCACGTCATCCTCGTAGTCCAGGGCGTCCTCCTTGTGGCCATCCACTCTGAGGAAGAACTCTCCGGGGCCCATTTTGCCGTTGCAGCCRTGGCACTCGGGTGGTGGTGGCAGCAGGGCGGCGGGGCCGAGCCGGAGCGCCGGGGACAGCTCGGGCAGCTCCGGGGAGCCGCGGCCGTCCAGCGATTCCGCTCGGCCACGGGGTGAGGGCCTGCCTGGAGTGCCGGGTTTGGCATCATCCGAGTCATCATCCGTGCTGCCTTTCCCCTCTCCAGAAAGCAGGGACTCCCTCTCTCCAGACTGGTTCTTCCTCTTGAGGCTCGGCGCCCGGCCCAGGCTGTTCCAGCTGGAGCGGCGGCTGCCCCAGGCGCTGCCACTGCCCCAGTGGGCGCAGGGAGAGCTGCGAAGGCTGGACTGGGAGAGGGAGGGGTGGGAGGGGTGTGTGCATGACGGAGACAAAGGATTTGGGATTTTTTTCTCTTCCTGTTTTTCTCACCCATCCTCGAGATGGAGAACCCGGCCCAGGCTGCACTGAAGGTGCTCCCGGATGACACCAGGGACAGCCACCAACCCCTGTCCTGTGTGAGTCCCCACTGTCCTGGCAATATCCACTATCCATAAAAAAGGAACCCAGAGGCACTGTTGCTGAAGTGGGATATTGCTGAGCTGACCTTTTCTTTCCTCGATTTCAGCTGGTTTCAGGTGGTTTCAGCTCACAACTTCCCTGCCTTCCAAAGGGAAACTGAGGCACGCAAGTGCCTGGTGGAAATTGTACACCTGCTTCTGCACCTTTTCTGGTTGTCACTATGTCCCTGCCATATTGCTGAAGAATGACTGAAAAACCTGGCAGAGTGGGGGTCCTTATCTGCTCTCTCCGTGATTCCAGCTGAAAGCACTTTGGGTTTGATGTYAYAGGATGTCASAGGGTTTTAATTCTGTATTTGWCAGYACTTTAAATTTGACTTAGGTCTGGAAAGCCTGATTTGCTTCCTTGGTGCTGACTRGTGAYGGATTGTTTTGGGAAATCTCTTGGCATGGGGTCACTGCATGAACCCAGGACTTGTCTGGGATTCTGTTTGGCAYGGGCTCCCAGTGAGGCACCGGGCAGGAAAAAGCTGAATCCTGGTCCATCCTTGTTTTCCTTCTCCCAGACTGGCTGTCCTTGGCTGTCACATTGTCACTGCCTCGCCCCAGCAGTGTCTCTCCTCTCCTCCTGCCTCCCCACACATTACTCATCTCCATCTCCCTCCTTTTCATCCTCCTGTCACAAATGCCTCCCATGACCCTGACTGAGCTCAGCTGGTGCTGATAACACCAAACTGGTGGGTCCAACCCCTGTAAGAGCCATTCCTTTGATGATCCCTGCGGCTCCCCTGCAGCCCAGAACATCCCCTGTGCTCTGTGTCACCCGAGCCCCCTGCTCTGTGTCACCGAGGGACAGCTGCCAGCCACAGGAACCTACCAAGGACTTCTGGTCGTAGCCTGAGGGCTCCAGCGAGGCRTTGCTGCCTCTCCTCGAGTCTCCGAGGGCGTGCAGGGAGTCCAGGTGTGGGGAGCACTTCGGGGTGGGCATCGGGGTGGCCGCCGTGCGCATGATGATGGGCGGGGGCATCGCCCCCCTGCCCTCCAGGTGCCCGTTGGGGGTGACAGCCAGCGAGTACATCTTCATCTCTGCACGGGAGGGAACAGAGGACACCCCGTGAGTGGACCCTGCTCCTGGGGGCTCTCAGGAACCCTCCCAGATGGGGTTGCCACCTACAGTTCTGTGTTTCTGGTGCACCTACAATTCTGAGGTTTTGGCCTTCCCTGAAATGCGTTGCCAGACCCTCCCGGGACGCAAATGAGCAGCAACATTTTCCATCCATCAAACCTCACCCAAATGTATTTCTGTGGGAAACCAAAAGGAGCAGACGAGGATGTGATTGATTGGAAAAGCTGCTGAGGAGCGGGGTGAGAACATCGCTGTCAGCAGAGCACTCGGGGCTGGTGGAGCAGGAGGAAGGAGGAGACGCAGCTAAAAATTCTCAGGGAGTTTAAAATCAGAAAAAAAGTATCTGTCTGAAGGAAATATTAGCCTTCCCTACACTGCTCTGGTGCCTTAGCTATCAGATTAATTGCCACAAAAACCAGATTCTTCCACTTTACGTGGGAAGATATGGAAATGGAGCCGTAGCTCCCGGATTCTTGGGAAAACACAGACACAAAACCCCACCTGTCGCTCGGAGATCTTTGAGCTTCTCAAACTCGTCCTCAAAGTTGGCAGATGTCTTGTCCTCATCCGTGTCTGATCTGTTGGCATCGCCCTGCAGAGAGGAGGGTAATTAACAGACCCAATTAATTTGGATTCCTCAGCAGCTCAGAGCCACCTCTGCTCCAGGGAGGGAACAGAAGCAAATTCCCTCTGGCAGTGCCCTGGGAATGATCCCAGGCAGGTCYCTCTTCCTGGTTTCCATTCCCTTTGGCACTTGGACAGGAAGGATGATGCTGTGGCTGTCACTCTGTCCCTGCCRTGTCACTGAGCTCCCTGCACTGCTCCAGGCTCCTGGAACAGCAAATCCCAAGGGAAAACCTCAGACAGCAGCTAGAATTGCAGGARTTACTGAAAAACCTGGCATGGTGGGGCTCCTTCTCTGCACTCTGTGTGACCCAGCTGAAAGCACTTAGGGCTGGATGTCAAAGAACATCAGAAGGTTTTAATTCTGTATTTGACAGCACTTTAAATTTGACTTCGATCTGGGAAGCCTGATKYGMTTCCTTGGTGCTGACTGGTGAYGGATCATTTTGGGAAATCTCTTGGCAACCCGAGGCAGAGGGAAAGAGGCCAATTCACCTGGCAGCCTTGCACCACATCAGGACAGGGAACAGCCACCCTCCCCCTGCCTTCCCTCCTGGAAGTGCAGCTCATTTCCCCCTCTGCACAAATCTGCCACCAAAAACGATCAGCSTGGGACAGAGGAGTTCTCCTTGCTGGGGGAGGAATTCCAGCAGAATTCCAGCAGGGCTCCGGCTGGATTCCTCAGGGCTGCAGAAATCTGTGCAAATCTGCAGCAAAGGGGGGGATTAAAGAGCTGATCCCAGGAAAAGGAGCAGCGTTCCTCGCCTGGTGCCTGAGCAAATCCCTGCAGTTTCTCCTGACGTGGCAGCGAATTTCGTTTTGTCGGTGATTTATTGCGAAGCGCTGCGGCCGCGGTGACTGAAAGGCTCGAGCTCCCTCATTCATCTCCCCACTTTCAGAGCAGAAAACCCAACGTAGAGTGGATGAAAGATTTTCAGAGGTTGGGAAGGTTTGTCTGCCTTCCCTGAGCTGCGCTGGGGGAGATTTCAAACTGACACGGGAGCACAAATGTGCAATTAGGGCCCTGTTTGATGTCTGGCTGCTTGTGCTGAGCACAAATGGGCTAAAAAGGGGTTTGTGGCTGTTCTCTTCCAGGAAAGCTCCTTAAATTTAAATTTTGTGCTGCAAATGGATTCAGAGGAGCTTCTCATGCCCAGCCCAGCTCACCTACCCCTTTTAAGTTCAGGTTTTGGGCTGGCTGCACAGTTCAATGTTTTCCCTGAGATGGATCATTCCCACCTACGCATCTCAGCTCTCCCCCTCCCCCTGCCTGGACCTCTCACCTCTGCCTGGAATCCTTCCACCAGGATGGCCACCAGGAGGTTGAAGAGCACGTAATTGCCAAAGGTCATCAGGGCCACGAAGTAGAGAGCAGCCCAGGAGGAGGTGGAGGCCATGCCGTTGTACAGCACCACGTTCCAGTCCTCCTGCGTGAGGATCTGCGGGGAAAGGCAAGGGAAACACTCTCAACTCCCCCATTCCCCTCGTGCACAGCAGCTGCACCGAAATCCTGCCCTTTCCCCTCTCCTTTTGACCTTTCCTGAGCGAAACCACTCTCAGGTCTCATGAGATGAGACAGCAGAAATCGCCTTGGTTTAGATCTCTGCATGTGGTTTGATATCACATTTTAGAAATGGCCTTGGTTTAGATATTTTTATGTGATTTGAGATCACCTTCTGGAAAAATTGTTTTTATTTAAGTCTTTGCATGTGATTTGAGATCACCTTTTGGAAACTGCCTTGATTTAGATCTCTGCATGTGATTTGAGATCACCTTTGGAAATCACCTTGACTTAGATCTCCTGGCTGACTCCCTTCCCTGCAGGAAAGTCTGGCCGTGCCCAGAGGGGATCAGTCAGATCAGAGATATCCCAAGGTGAAGGATGCACTGCCCTAATCCCATTATTTCATGGAGGTGTTGCCTCCTTTGATAACCATCAAAGGTTATAYTTGATTATTACATTTGATAACCATCAGAAGATAACAGCCCTGAGGCCACAGGGCTCGTCTCCTCTCAGGCTGGTCTTGAGAAGCAGCTGAAGGAAAAGGACAAGGGACAGCAGATTTAATGAGATAAATGACATTGGGTGGCTCCAGGAACTYGGGGAAGAAGAGTTGTTTCCTGGAGGTAAAAACACTGAGCAAAAAAAATACCCATCATGGCAAAGCCTTGCTCTGAGGGATCTTCCTCAGGTATTTCTACTCTCTCAATTTTCCTGAAGCTCAAAAAAACTTTATTTTGGAAACACAAAACTTTGATCTTTACATTTAAAATATCCTTGGAATAGCAGCTGAGTGCTCTGCTGGGGAGCCTGCCAGGAAATTTCAGGCTAAAATGGAATCTGGCTGCAGAGGAAACACAACATTTTACACCCAGGCTGCCCCAGCACCTCCAGCTCTGGTTTGGGAGGGGATTTGTCACTCCCARTTACACAGAACAGTTTGCAAAGGGCATTTTGGGGGCAGTAAGGAGAGATCTGCAGAGTAGGAACAGGATGGGCAGCAGAAAGGAAAGTAAGGATGGATTCCCTCCTTTTACTGGTAAGAGACATGGACAGTGCTGATTTCGAGCAGATTCCTTCCCCATCAGGGCTTTCAGACCCTGAAGCACCATCTCTGCCCCAATAACTCCACAGTGCTGCTTCACCCCAAATCCAACACCTCCCRGAAGAGTTTTGTGGAACAAATCCTCCTCCTGTTCCACCCTAAAACACCCCAGAGGACCCCGAGCTTACCTGGAACACGGTCACRATGGCCCAAAGCAAGGAATCAAAATTCTTCCTGTCCGGAACCGTGTCGCCCGTGTCGGTTTTCAGGCTGAACTTGCACCCGAAAAGATGCATACCAAGGATGCTGGAGAGGGGGAAACACATGAGTGAAAGGGGGCTGCAGGGATTTTATGGATATGTTCCCACTCCTGGTGTTTTTTGGACACTGATCAGACCCTGGATTTTGGTTGTCCTGTCTCACATTGCCGGTTGTCTGCACTGAAGGCAAATCCAAGATCAGCTTTGTCTGGAAAAGTGGCAAAGTGTATTGCCAGCTCCCTGATTCCCAACCCAAGGATCCTGAGGAGTGTTAGAGGGTCAAACACACAGAATCCTCGGGGTCTGCACAATTTCCATCCCAAATATAACCCTGGGAGAGCCCAGTGAGTGTGAGGCACAGCTCAGGAGACTCTGAGGGGCAACTATTGCCTGTTTGTGTCGCCCATTCACCTCTGGAATGATGATATTCCATGCAAAACAGGCTGGAAARGGGGAAATATCCCACTGYCAGCCCTTCCACCCCACAGGTGGCRTGTCCCCGTCCCCATCCCSGCATTCCCGATGACTCGAGGGAGAGCAGCGGGACGAAGCCGTACCTGAAGATGAAGATGAAGAGCATGAGGAGCATGCAGAAGGTGGCCACGTTGTCCATGGTCTTCATGAGCACCACGAGCTGGCGGCGCAGGGCGGGCATGAAGCGCACGAGCTTCAGCACGCGGAGCAGCCGGAAGGTGCGGAGCACGGACAGGCCCCCGTCCGACTGCCCAATGATCTCCCAGACACTGTGGGGACAGGGGACACCCCTAGCACCAGCAGCTCTGCTCCCTGGGAGTCGTTTTCCCCCAGGAATGGCCCCTTTGCCCACTCCTTTCCTGCCCCTGGAAAGGCTCCTCTGCTCCCTGGCCATGCTGCCGTGCCTCACGTGGCACAGCTCCTCTGTTTGGGGTAAATTCCCTCTCTAATTCCCTTTTTTCTCCTGCTAGGATGCACCACTGCRTAGTGTGGATCAGGATTTTGTCCCAGGAATATCCAAAGGGATGATTTTGGTGGTTTTGGTTTGGTCAGGCCACAGAGTGACCTTTGTTCCGAACCTCGGCTGCTCTTCCCATGTCTGAATCYAAGGGATGTGCAGTGAGCACTCTCCAGTTTCACATCTCTGCATCCCTGGAATTYTTTATCCCAAATTTCTGATGGAACAGAAAGGCTCCCAGCACTGGGGGGTGGCCCTCGTGCTGGGGTATCCCCASTTTGGGCTGGGATAGCATCCCGTGGGGAGCACAGCAGAGCAGGGCTCTCCCTTCCCCCTGCTCACCCAATTCCAGCTGAGTTGTGATAATTTGGGAGAGGGAGGAAGCACTGCTGGGATATGGCCACTCCCAGAGCTCCTTTCCCAGTGGAAATTCCCCTCCCAGTACCAGAAGTGCAGCATGAACAGACTCTGCCCTCCATCTGCCAGGTCCATTCCCTCGGCACAGCCCCTCCTCAGGACAGGAACCCAAAATCCCAGCAGGATTAGAGCACATCCCAACCCTGGAACCCAAGGAATGTCATCCCTGATCCCACCAGGCTGAACCCTGAAGAGCCCTGGTGGGGAAAGGACCGACAGTGACCTGATGACGACGATGATCCCGTCGAAGATGTTGTAGGGRTTCTTGATGTAGCCAAAGATCCCGAAGGCCAGGAGCTTGAGGAGCATCTCCAGGGCGAACATGCTGGTGAAGACGATGTTGCTGATCTCCAAGGCATTGGTCAGCTCGTCTGGCTATGGGAGAGAAAAGCAATGTGATCAGAGAAAACAGGAAAGGCTGGAATGTTCCTCCCACTGGGGTCTGYGCTCCTTCTGGAAGGCCATGGAGGCAGGTAAATGTCTCAGGATAAACCTCCTGGAGAGTTCCTGGGAGTTTTACTGGAATCACAGGATCCCAGCCCAGTTTTGGAGAACTTGGAGAACAACTGTGCCCAATCCTTGGGCCAAAATAATCCAAGCTGTGCAAAGGAGAGGGTTTGTTCAGATTCCAAGATAAAATTATCCAGGCCATGGCTGRAATGACTCATCCACCTGGATTTCCATGGATCAGTCTGGTTTTTACTACACCAACCCTGACTTTATGGATGGGGTTTATATCCAAACCAGGATGGAAGGTTTAAATATGGGAATGTCAGCACAGCTCTGCTCATATAGACACAAAGTATTTCTCTTCCAGACACCTCCAAAGAGAATTAGGAAAAAAAAAAAAAACCACTTAAAGTCAGTGGGATCTAGAGTTTCATGACTCTTGAGATATTTAGCTCCCTTCAGAAATTGTCACCAAAACTCCAAAATGGTTTTTCCCCAAACCAGCAGATGTTAAGTGGTGTTTAAGATGTTAAAATGCCCTGAATGCCAGGATTCCCGCCAGGATCAGTGTGGGTTTCTCCAGGGGCACAAAACTTAACACAGCTCAAATCCCAGATTTTTCCATGCCCCTCTATCCCAGCACCACATTCCCTTGGGCTCCAACCTTATTTCCAGACAGAACCAGGGACATTCCATACCTTTCCCAGGAAGTGCAGCAAAGCCTGCCCAGTGCCCAGGCCCCAAAACGTGGCAGGGACAGATGGGAAAAGGTGGGATGAGGTTTCCTCTCTCGCTGGAGCTGCTCCTTCACACAGCACCAGGCTCTGCAAGGAGCATTTCTGCTCCCACGCCTGCTCCTTTGCAAGAACAAACGAACCTTTTTCATTTCCTTTTCCTTGGTGTCATTCCATTGTCTACGGACAGGTGTGATTTTCAGAGCTGACTCATCTCCTGGACTGATAATAATTCCCTTTATTCCCCATCCCTCGCTGGACACCAGGAGGGCAAAAAATCGGCTGTTTTGGGGATACACTGAGGATGTGGAGAAAGAGCCCATTTTAATACTGTAGYCCCATCGAATTGAGCTCCATACTCCACAAATCCCAATCCTTGGCAGCGTTAGGAGAGGGTGAAAGGGTTAATGGGATTGGGGAAAAGCCCACACATCCCCTCCAGCCCATGGGCTGCTAATGAGCCATCACTCAGCGCTAATTACCCCGAGCATTGTCTGTCTGCTGCTCAGCCACTCAGCCCGGGAGAGAGCAGAGCTCCTGGTTCCAATCCATGTGCTCAAATTGCCGTGGGATACCGGGAGAAGGACAGGGGAATTTTCGGTTCTTTGGTCTCCAGCAGGACCCGATTCCCTCACATCAGTCAGAGTTCATTCATCCCATTCCTTTCCCTCAAAATGCCAAAATAACCCGCGAAGAGGCCTTTCCTTAGAAAAAAAAAAAAAAAAAAAAAAAAAAACCTGAAAACCAAAAAACCCCAAAACCTCAGCTAGGGATCAGGAGTCCTCCGGGATGGAATTGAACCAGCTCCCCACAAAGAGTGAGCCCAAAATAGCCCTGCAGGCTCCAAGGCCAACCCAAGTACACGTTGAGTCTGAAAAACTGAACAACCCCAAAGCCACCTCAAGCAAATAAAAGGAATTTGTACATTGTAATCCTATGAAATCCCAAGTTTTCTAMGGGAAACCCAGGATTTTCCTGTGGCTGTGGAGCACTGAGCCAATCCCGAATTTATTTCCCAATTCGTGCCCTTTTTGCTTCATCTCCAGCACCGCGGCTTTTGCTTCCTATTGAAATCCAGGAGAAAATCTGCAGTGATCTGTGGGGGGAGGGTGGAGAGGCCACGAGGGACAGGGACAGGGGACAGGAGAGGACAAGGAGGTGGCCTGGAACGTCAGCAGCCGTGACCGGGAGCTGATCCAGCAGATGGGAACACGGGAGGACGCCCGGGGAAGGCTGACGCTGCAAAACCTCAGCTCAGGGATCTTCGTTATCCTTTTGGGATCACGCCTGGAGCTCGGCAGGGCTGATGTGATGACAGGGCTGAGAGCTGGGATGTCAGAGCAGGATCCTSCTGGGACACCGGGCATGGACAAGGATGGATAGCCCGGAACGCCGGCCAAGCCGCTGCCGGGAGCTTGGGGATTATTGGAGTGGAAGCTGAGGAGCAGATGAGCCAAACATCAGCRCTCCAGCCTTCCAGAGCAATTACCTTCTCCTGACACCCATGGCAGCCYGGGAAACAGGGATATTTTTGTGCCTTCCGAAATCGTTTGTCGCTCAGAGCGTGAATTTCCCGCTCCTTTCGCTCCCAGACGAGCAAAGATCCGCGAGAAGGGTCAAGGAAGGGACACTCGAGATGGGTTTGGCCATTCCCCTGGAGCCAGCCGCTAGGAGCCACTGTTGTTTTGTCCCAATTAAAGCCAATCCCGGAGCAGGGATTTCTTCCAGGASTCTTTTTCCACGGGTGAAACAAAACGTCGATTTGCTGAAAACAAAGCTTTTCACAGCGGGGATTATTTTCGTCCAACTTTCTGGCTGGAAGGAAACGAAATTGCGACAACACTTCCAAATTGCTGCAGTGTCTCGTTTTTGACCTTCTCAGAACCGGGAACTTCAGGCTTTTGGCTGGAGAAGTGGTTGTGTCATGAAATGCAGCTTGGATTGGGACGGGTAACAAAGCTTGGCAGAAAAATCAGCCACTTCCAAGAGAGATGGTCTAAAGTGAGGGTTTTTGTTTTTTGCCAATTTTTTTCTAAGCCTTAAATGAGTCTGACAGGGAAGCTTCTCACCTACCATTGGGTTCCAAGTTGCATCAGGGAAAAATTCCTTTTCCAAGAAAAGTGAGGGACTCTGACCCCCCATCAGCTTTGCTGCTGCCATTATTGACCTTTACACCAGTCCAGGATTCCAGAGCCAGAAGGTGACTGCATGGAATTGCAGGAGGATCCAAAACACTCAGGAATCCCCAGAATATGGGAGATGATTGGCAGTGCTGGAATGAGAATCCCCCACTCTGAATGCAGGGGCTGGAATGGGAACAGCTGTGTTGGAAACTGCCACCAAAAATGAGCCCTGAGAGTGGTTTAACCCCAAGTTGCACTGACAGGTCCCAGGGTATGCCAAAAAAAGTCCAGTTCTGAGTCTAAATGTTATAATTTCAGATGCAAATCATCATCTTGGACTACAGAATTAAGTTTCCCGCTACTCAAGGGAAAGGCGGGAACTGTTTGGGATCAATYTGTAGGACTTCAGCATCCTTGAGTWTAAAGTAAGCAAGCCTTGACTGTGGGCAACYACRTCCCCCTTCTGCCCACTTTCAGGGMCATATTTACGCTGAAGAGTACTCCAGTGATCMCAAACTATGTTTTCATTAGGGACAAACCTCAAACAGTTCATTCCAAGTTCAGATAAACAGACCAAAGAAATCCTTTCCTAAATAGTTTAGGTCTGAAATCCTCAGAAGCCCCATCCCTTTCGGAGAATCTGACACTTGTGGTTTGAGCACGGGGCAGCACAGACCCCAGAGCCTTCCTGGAATTGAGGAATCCAATAAAAGAAAACCCATCATGGTCAAATTATTGATGGCTGCTCCAAGCAGAGAATAGAGGAGCAGAATTTGCAGCCTTGGATTCTCTTTGTGCACCTGAATTACAGCAGCTCTCTGAAGAATGGGATCTCTTTGTGCCTCTTTTTCCTCTTCCCCCTCATCTCTCTGATTGCTGCATCCACCGGCTGCTATTTCACATAACTTAGGCTCAGCCCCAGGACAACCGGGCACCTTTTTGCTCTGAAACCCGGTAGAAATAACCACACCTGCATCCCTCAGGGCAGAGAAAAGGGCTTTCACCCACCCCCTCCTTCTTGCTGAATGACCAGGGCAGTTTCCCGAGGAAAATCTGTGTTTTCCTTCCGAAATCCCCCTCTGTGCCCAAAGCAGCTCGGCTTTTCCGTGAGCCGGGAGAGCTGAGAGCAGCAGAGCCCCGAGGAGCCGTAAACAAAYGCAGAACATYGAGTCTCATAAACACCCTTTGCACYTGGGTTGTTTTCTCTCTGGTCCCGAGCTGTCCGGGGGGCTCGGAGCTTGTTTATGTCGTCTTTTCTGCTTTTTGWGCTAAAGTGCAGCCTGCAGGGTTCTGACCAGGCACAGCAATGATGTGTCGGTCCGTGGGATCACTGATCTCCAGGGCACTCTGTGTTTTCTGTCCTCACCTCATTTTTGGGAAATTAAAAATTTCCAGTGACTGGGAATTCCATCACACCAGAGCTCACCTGATTGCAGTGCCGTGTCCCAGAATTAAACCCGCAGGGAATGAGGGAGAGAGGCAGGGACAGGGAATCCAGGGAGCTCATGGACCATCCAGTCCCACCTTAGGACACCTTCCACGATCCCAGGGAGCTCCAAACCATGTCCAAGAGTCCTTTGGACMCTTCCAGGGATCCAGGGGCAGCCACAGCTTCTCTGGGAATTCTATTCCAGGGCATCCTCACTCTCCCAGGGAAGGATCTGAGCATTCCCTGGACACGGCAGAGGGAAGGAGGGAAGCAGTGCCATCCCCCATGCAGGGACTCAGCAGGGACAGGCTGCCCCACACTCTGCTCGCTTTTAGCAGCAGCTCTGTCATTCTGTGCCTTGGCAGCAGCCTGGGAAAAGGTCCCTTTCCAGGGAGTTCCAGGAGCCAGGGGCTGGCAGAGGAAGCAGAGCTGTCAGGGGATGTAAGTGACACCCCGGCAGAGATGAAGGCCATGCTTTGACCTTTGTTTTTCTCTCCTTCTCTGCTTGTCCGGGATCAAACCGAGCAATTCTGATATTTCCAAGGTAAGTAAACAGCGGAGCAAAGCAAACGCAGAAACCCCCCGAGCAACTGAAGACCTGGCTGCTTCCTGCTCTGCGTTCTCTGCCTTTACAG